AGGAGTCATCAGGACTCTGTATCACAGAGCAGACAGCGTCCCCACTAGCTCAGGAGCCAGGCAGAAGGAGAAATCCCACACAAGACAGGCTCTAGAGCAATGTGGATATCCTAACTGGGCCTTCCTGAAAGAAGAAACCCAAACAGGACTCCAGTCAGCCATCAGGTGAAAAGGAGGAACCCAGACCCAGACCAGTGGTCATTCCAGATGTTGAGGGAGTATCAGAGAAACTGAGACGTTTATTTTCTAAACAACGTCCCAGTGGCTTTTAAACCCCAAAATACATTAAAGACTGGTTCATCCCAAAGATCCAGTCCCCCGGCACAAACAGAGTAATGTTGTGTATGTTGTTCAGTGTCAGGAGGGTGATCAGTCTTACATCGGGGAAACTAAACAGCCACTAGCCAAAAGGATGGACCAGCACAGAAGATCAACATCATCAGGCCAGGACTCTGAGGTCTACACTCATCTCCAGGCCAGCGGTCACTCTTTCAGGGATGAAGATGTTCACATCCTGGACAGAGAGGAACGATGGTTTGAGAGAGGAGTAAAGGAGGCCATCTTTGTGAAAAGAAACCGTCCATCATTAAACAGGGGCGGAGCCTCCAGGTTCAACTGTCCCCCTCTTACAATGCTGTGATTGCTAGTATCACTCAGCCCTCTGTGAACAGTAAACAGCCATCAGGTGCTAATGATCCATTGTTAGGCTGATGGTCCTTCTTGATCATGTGATCAGCTGGTTTTGGTTGTCAGCAGCAAACTGGTTGATCCACTCTGAGAAGGTGCTATTTAAGAGACTGAACTGAATACAGCACCTCAGACTGAGGAAGTCCTCAGGATGAGAGATGAAACGTTTCTACATTTTTTTGTTGATTTGCTTTGTTTTGTTTTTTTGAATGTCCAGAGGACCAGATTTAACTTTTTTAAATCATTTAACATTTATTTTCAATTTAAAAAAATACATGCAATTGTGTGTCATGTCCAATGGTTCTTTGAAAAACTGCGATAGAGCTTAAGGCAGGTGGGGGTGCTTCACCTTTACCACCCACACTTTGAAGTCGTCGTTCCAGGGAGTCAAACCGGCGACCTTCCGATCACAGGCCCACCTTCTCTAACCTCTGCACCACCACTCCCCCGTGAAAAATAAGATTCTAATAAAGAATTCCATCTTTGGCATCAATGTTCTTCCGCACTGAAGGCACAGGAACCGGTAGTTGAGACGGCGAACAGAACTCGGTTCTTCCCGACCCGTCCCCGGCTGACACAAAGAACTGAGACTCGGACTTGATCCAGCTCGTTTTATTCACAGGGTTCAGTCAAGAAACAGCTGATTGAAGGTCACCTGAGGACAGAGAGTGTTGGGAGTGAGGAGACGACTCGTGCACGTTTTAACCAAGTTCTGTTAGACTGTGCACGAACGTCCAGCCAACAACGCGTTCATCCTCCGGTCTATAATTAATTTATTCATCAGGCACTTGGTGGGAAATCTCAGATTATTTACAAAACCTCTGAACTTTTATAAATTTCATATTTCACATGAAAATATATTTATTTGTTACGCGGAGTTCACTGGCTTCAGATTGTCGTCAGCTAAGGCGGGGGCCTGCGACCCACGGCTCGGGGGCCGCACGTGGCTCGTTGTGGCTTTGACCAAACGTGAAGCTGGTTCTGAACGCTGAACCACAGGGCCGGGTGAAGGAAACGGACAGAACGACGAAGTCGAGCTGCTGAAGCTACACGTGTTCTGCACAATTATAAAATATAAAAACACAAAACTCGACTTCTATTACACAAAAATCAGAAGTTAGATAAATAAAGATCTTTGTCTTTATTAGAGGAAATAAATTAATTTACAAATCTGGCCAGTTCTTGTATCTCTAATGGCGGTTAAAGTTTAATCTTTATTATTTCTAGCTCTATAATTAATTGAACATAAATATTGTAAGACTGCATAGATTACATTTGATCAAAGGAGGAACAAATGTTTTCTGTCCCGTCATCAAAGTTTGACTTTGTCGTCCAAACTTATTTCACTCGGTGTCACAAACTACCGGTAGTTTATTTAAAAAGGTTCAGATGTTGAGTCTCGTGAAACTAAGATTTAATTCATAACTCAGTAAATTGATCAGTTGTTGAAACTAAGAACTTATACCTTTTTATTGGGGGGGGGGGGGGGACACATCTGGAACATCAGGCTGTAAAAAGTCTGAACCTGTCAGAAGTAAAGACGGGCACCGGTTCAGCACTCTGTCTAAAACTAGTGGAAGGATTTCAGAATAAAGTTCCTGAATGAAGACTTTAATCTCCATCATCTGCAGTTCATAATCTGATCAACAGATTAGAAGAATCTGAAGAAATCGTTGAGCTCAAAGGACGAGGCCCTCAGGGGCCACTGCATTAAAACCAGGTCTGGTTCTGGTTCTGGTCTGGGCTCAGGACAGGAACCCTTCCACAGATGTGGAACTGTTCTGAGGTCAGATGGGTCCAAATGTGAAGTTCTGTTTGGAGACCACAAACACCACGCCCTCTGGACTAAAGAGGAGACCAGCCAGGTATTGAAGCCTGCCTCTCTGATGGTATAGGGTTGCATTAGTGCCTCTGACATAAGAAGCTGACACATCTGGAAAGACTCAATGAAGAAAAACATCTGCAGGTTTTAGAAGAACATCTGCTCTGTCTAGGACTGCTGAAGAGCTGGAGTCCATCAGACCAGGAGACAAAACCTCCAACATCTGGTCTCCTCAGGTTCTCCAGAACCTCCAACATCTGGCCTCCTCAGGTCCTGGACCTCTACAGACTGGTGTTAGAAGAAGAGGAGATGCTTCAGAGGGAACTGGACGTGGTGTTTCTGCCATCAGGTTCAAATGACCTCACTGAAAATAAACCGGTTCAACATCTGGTTCAACATCTGGTTCAACATCTGTCTGTGAATCAAATCACTTCCATGAAAGTTTGAATCGAAGCTGTTTTGATGTAGAGAACGACCCGACTGCTCCACGGCTGCGGTTCGAACCCGTCCTGAACGTCCAACGCTTCAGGAGCTCCTGCAGCAGCTCAGGAGCAGAAACCTGTTTTTCATTGTAGAAGATAAACCCCCCCCCCCCCCCCCCCCCCCCGCCAGGATAAGGCTGACACGGTAACCGCAGCAACCAACTCCTCTCATAGTGCAAGGTAACGATTAACGAGCTAAAAGAAATCAACTCCGGCCAGAGGAGCTCTGGAGGACGTTGTTCCTCCAGATCATTAGACTCCGACAGTAAGTAACTTTTTCTGAACATAGTTTGGAGTTCATACAAAAACTGATGGAAGAGTAAAATCTAGACGTTATAAATAAACGTTTTGTGTAGACACACTTTTGGTTTGAGTGACAGGAATATAAATATAAGCACCGCTGCACGGCCGACCCGTACAAACAGACGGTACAAAATAAGATTACAGTGTTTTAGAAAAGTCTCCACGTCAGCGTATCCAAGTGATCTTAAATTAAAGCCAAATATACACAAACTATAAAAAATGAAATCAACATCCAGATGTTTTACCCTCACAATCTACAGGAACGTTCTGAATGAGGCGACTCGCACCGGAAGACGAACGAGCGGGGAAAGTTTCCGAGTCGCCTCTGAAACTTGAACCAAACTGATTTAAGACGCGAAGTCGTTTCTTCGTCCGGTGGTTGACGCTTCACAGTTCGGGCGTTTCCACTCCATCAGGTGTCGCTGCCGGTGGGCCGCCATCACGTCCTGACTCGTGAAGATCCTGCCGCAGAACCAGCAGGGAAACTTGGAGCCCGAATCCCGACCCGGAGGCGCAGAACCCACGACCTCGTACTTCTTCCTGCTCAGCCGGCGAAGCCTCAGCTTCAGGGTGAACCTCTCCTGTACGGCGGCGTCCGGCGCGCCGCCGGTCCGACTCGAGAGCGAGCTCAACGTCCGGCGGGACAGAAGGACCTTCTGGACCTCCCTGTGCCTGCTGACCACCTCCATGATCCGGGCCACCTGGGGGGTGTCGGCGTCCGGGTGGTTGAGCACCACGACGGGCTGGTCTCCTGCCGGACGTTTCACCAGCTGACAGGAGTTTATGGCGACGAGGTTCAGGGTTCTCTCCTGGTGCTTTGGGACCGGCTGCCACCGGAGCCCGGGTCCTGGTGAGGACTCTGTGGATCCACCTGAAGGTACCTGGATCCTGCTGAGGAGATCTGTGCAGGAACCTGAGGAAACATCTCCGGCTTCTACCTCCTCCACCATCGGCTCGCTCCGTTCTGTAGAAGCTTCAACGCAGGAATCTTCTAAATTAGACTCACCTGAAAAAAAGATTAAAATAACTGAAGAAGCTGAACTTCCAATGAAAATACATGATGGATGCTGAAAAACAGCTAAAATTAGCTAAAAAAATCATGGAGCTGAAATGGAAGAACAAGCCTACATTAGCAGAAAGAACACAGATTTGATGAATTAGATAAGAAGAGATGAGCACAGACATTAGGAACTCAGCTAAAAAAGACAAAATTAGCAAAAATTAGCTGAAAAGGCAGAAAGAATCTTAAACTACAAGAAGGAAATGGAAGAGGCTGAAATGAGCTGAAAAAGGTGGAATTAGCTAAAAAAAAATCTAAAATTAGCATAAAACAGCTAAATAGTAGCTGAAATATCACAAATGCCTAAAACTAACCGAAAAAAAACTGAAAGAACATAAGCTAAAATGAGCTGAAAACGATGGAATAAGCTGAAAAAAAAACTAAAATAAGCATAAAACAGCTAAACAGTAGCTGAAAGTAGCAGAAATAAGCTGAAAGGAGCTTAACAAGCTGAAATAAGAAGAAAGACGTTAGAAGAAGCACAAACATGTTGCAGTTAGCAGAAAGAACCTGAAAGGATCACAAAACAGCTGAAATAACAGCTGAAATAACAGCTGAAATTAGTTTAAATTAGCAGCAGGGAGCTGAAAGCAGCTGAAGCAGAACAAAATGTGAAAGGAGCAGTAAAAAGTTGTAAACAGATGTAAAGATTTGAAGGATGGAAAATGAGCTCAGTTCATTTTCTATGAGAGAAAAATGTCAGAAAAGGCTAAATATTTCAAACAGCTAAAGTTGCACCAACACTAGAAGTCAGAGCAGGATTGACCTGAAAGAGCCGAATGTTTTGATTCATGATTTGTTGAAATATCTGAAAACCGTACAGAAGAGAACTGGATGAGAACTGGATGAGAACAGTGAGAACAGTGAGAACTGGATGAGAACAGTGAGAACTGGATGAGAACAGTGAGAACAGTGAGAACAATGAGAACAGTGAGAACTGGATGAGAACAATGAGAACAGTGAGAACAGTGAGAACTGGATGAGAACAGTGAGAACTGGATGAGAACAGCGAGAACAGTGAGAACTGGATGAGAACAGTGAGAACTGGATGAGAACAGTGAGAACTGGATGAGAACAGTGAGAACAGTGAGAACAGTGAGAACAATGAGAACAGTGAGAACTGGATGAGAACAATGAGAACAGTGAGAACTGGATGAGAACAGTGAGAACTGGATGAGAACAGCGAGAACAGTGAGAACTGGATGAGAACAGTGAGAACAGTGAGAACTGGATGAGAACAGTGAGAACTGGATGAGAACAGTGAGAACAATGAGAACAGTGAGAACTGGATGAGAACAGTGAGAACAGTGAGAACTGGATGAGAACAGCGAGAACAGTGAGAACTGGATGAGAACAGTGAGAACTGGATGAGAACAGTGAGAACTGGATGAGAACAATGAGAACAATGAGAACTGGATGAGAACAATGAGAACAGTGAGAACAGTGAGAACTGGATGAGAACAGTGAGAACAGTGAGAACTGGATGAGAACAGTGAGAACTGGATGAGAACAGTGAGAACAGTGAGAACGCTTGACTCAGACAAAAAGAAACTTCCTGCAGAAAGGTTGAAGCGGTCGATGAAGCTGCAAAACTCCAACAGAACTTTGAAACAATCTGAGCTCAGACAAAACGACGACATCTCAACAAGTGAACTGTAAAATCATAAATTTTAAAAAGGTTGAAGGTGCTGCCAGCAGCTCAGTGTGGTCACCATGGCAACAACACACCTGTTTCTCACTCCTACTGTAAGTTTTAACGAGAGGCTCAAAGAAGCAGACTGAAAAGTAAGCCTCAAACAGAGGCTGGGTGAAAACTAGAAGTCAGATCTAAACAAGTTTTAAGCCGCGAGCAGCAGAAGACTCTGACGGTCACTGGTGTGAGTTTTACTGCGTCTCGAGTGTTTTATGGAAATTTAAAACGCCTTTCATTCCCTGACATGACTTCTGTTGGGACTTGGAGAATTTCATTCTCGGTTTGGAGGAGAACGTTTTGATCTGAAGTAGAAGTGAAATGTTGTGAAGTCTGGGCGTGTCCTCTGCTCTCCGGGATGATTGGAGAGAAAACAGAGTTACGTGGTGACACGCAGCAGAACATGGAGATGTTTGTCTGGACCAAGGAGCTGTGGATGCAGGAAGTTTCCAAAGATTCCATCATTTCATGCAGCTCAGAAGTTCTTTTGACATCAACGGTTGGTTCATTTAACAAAGTCAGGTCCTCTGGACGGATTAAAAAAATTAAAATTAAAAACTTGTTGAAACATTTCATCTTTCATCCAAAGGACTTCTTCAGTCTGAGGAGCTGCAACAAACTCGGTTTTATAAATAGAGGCTTCTCATGGTGGATTCACTCATCTGCAGGTCAGAGGTCACTCTCTCAGGGATGAAGATGTTCACATCCTCGATGGAGAGGAACGATGGTTTGAGAGAGGAGTAAAGGAGGCCATCTTTGTGAAAAGAAACCGTCCATCATTAAACAGGGGCGGAGCCTCCAGGTTCAACTGTCCCCCTCTTACAATGCTGTGATTGCTAGTATCACTCAGCCCTCTGTGAACAGTAAACAGCCATCAGGTGCTAATGATCCATTGTTAGGCTGATGGTCCTTCTTGATCATCTCTCTGATCTGCTACAACTGTATGTCCCACCACGCTCCCTGAGGTCAGCGGACCAGTTGCTCCTCACAGTTCCAGGAACTCGTCTTAAGCGCAGAGGTGACAGGACCTTCTCTGTAGCAGGACCAAGACTATGGAACGAGTTGCCTCTGCTCGTCAGTTAGGCCCCTCCCTCTCGGTTTTCAAGTCCTGTTTAAAAACTCACTACTATTCAGTAGCTTTCAACACCAGATGATCTGTGTTTGATCCTGTATGCTCCACACTGGTTAGTCGTCATTATCTGCATCGTTTTTATGTCTATATTCTGATTGACCTCATTTTGTATTTTGCTTTGTGTGTTACCTGTTGTTCTGTCTGTACAGCACTTTGGTTGGCCTTGTTGCTGTTTTAAGTGCTCTATAAATAAAGTGGTGTGGCATGTGAGCAGCTGGTTCTGGATGTCAACAACAAACTGGTTGATCCACCATGAGAAGGTGATGTTTATAAGACTGAGCTGAATACAGCTCCTCAGACTGAAGAAGTCCTTTGGATAAATTATGCAACGTTTCAACAAGAAGAATCGGACCTGACTGAACTGTATTAGAGGTTTAAAATGTTTCTGTGAGCCGTTTCAACTTTGAAATGTCTCACTTGTGGAGCTACTGACGGGGCTGGGTTCATGTCCATCATGTTTCTTCTCTCCGTTCAGGAGCTGAGATCTACTGCTGCCAAACGTCTCAGCGTTTTCCATCGAGCTGCAAGTTTTGGTGAATAATTTGCACGTGTTACTTTGAACCTGCACAACAAGACGCGTGATCAAAACCTCTGAACACGAGGAGCTGAGTGTTTGTGTTGACGCAGCCATGCTAACGTCCATGAAGTGCTGGCGTGTACAAACCGTCGATGGTCGACTCACCCTCAGGGTTATGAAGAATCCCAGCAGCGGTGAAACTCCGGTCCTCTGATATTGGACCGTCAGAACCCGTTTGGGTGTTTTGGAGCTGCAGGTCTTCACAGCTCGTATCTTCTGTCCCAGACGTAGCCCTCTGATTGGTCCAGATCGTTCCATCAGCTGATCTGCTCCTGCCAACGTCAGCCTCCGAGGGAAGATCTGGCTCCTCTGAGTCGCCTGGCGTCTCTTGGCGAGTTGAAGATCCTGCAAGTGCTGCAGGCCTGGTTCTATCTTCAGGTCCAGATGGTTCCACAGAGCAGCAGATAGACTCTGATTGGTCAATCAAAGTCCTGGTTCCAGGGGCTTCCTGAAGGTCAAGGCTGAAACAGTCCACTGCGTCATTAAGAAGTTCTACTGTGTCTGGAGCTGCAGGAGGACAAGACGGTTCTTCTGGAGATGAACTTTGTGAAGCCCGTTGCTTTTCCTTCAGGACAACCTTTAAGGCTTTTGTATGGACTTTTTTAAACCTGGACTTTCTTCTTCGTCGTCTCTTTTGCTTCTTGCCTCTGGACAGGACTCTGCCGTCAGACGTCTTCTCCGTGGCCTCGTCTTTTACGTCACCTGAACTACGGGGATTGTCGCCCACGGTGTTGCCTTCTACGTTCGTTTCTCCGTCCATCTTTAATTCCTGATTTTCCCGGTTCTCCTGTGTTCCAGCACACGAAGACGGCTCAGCCGCCGAGGTGTCACTGTGCAGTTTATGTTCCGCCTGCGGACGATGACTTTCATCCCTCCGGTTGAAGTCCCGTTCATTTTGGTCCCCTGCGGCACTTTCGAGACAAACGACTTTCTTATCAGCGGACACTTTCAACCGTTTGGCGTAATTCTGAGCTACGGTTATCTGGTTCTTGACCGTGAGGACAGCGAGGTCCGCCGTGTCGATGCTGTTCTCCGTTTGGTAAAGGCTCATGTCCGGTGGAACGTTTGACAGAACGGTTTTCAGAGCCTCGGTCCACTTCTGGTCGGTGTCCGCAGCGACGGTCTCCATCAGAAACTGCTGGGTCTCCTCGAGCGTCGTCTGCGGATCGGACAGGTGGCAGTACTTGTCCAGGAACTCTCTCCCCGGCAGAGACAGGCAGTCCTGCGGCAGCCAGCGTGTCTCCCTCACCGAGCTTCTCGTCATCCTGGTTTTGATTCCAGGGCTTGTGTTATTTGGTTTCACTGAAATGGAATGCAGTCGCCTCTTCCTCTGGTTACCGTTCTGACAAACGTGACCAGCTTTGACGCCTTTGGCGATCGACAGTTTCTCACACGCCTCAAAACCGCAGAACGGACTAGCCTGAGTTTTACCGTCCTGCTCGTCTCCAGCTTCCTCCAGGTTCAATTTATGTCCATAAATGTGTTCCAGAAAGCCTCTCAAGTCCCCCGTGGAGAACTTGCGGCATGTTGCACAGGAATATTTACCACCTGGGCAGTGATACATTGTCAGGTGTGCGCAGAACTCGGGCCATGTGCGTGGAACGTTGTCGTTGCACATGCTGCAGCTAGAGAACGTGTCCTTGTGGCTTAAGAGATGAACCTGAAGGAAGGAGAACTTGTTTGTGCTGAAGGTGCACGTGTGGCAGGAGAAAACCGGCGGGCTCCCCCTGTGTTTTTCTTCAAAGTGTCTCACCAAGTCTTTTGGAGCGTACTCCGAAGTGTCCTTGCACTGAGGACACAAGAACCTGAGTGAACTGTCGTGTTCCTGGGGAGGTTTGTTTGGGGGGAGCCACGCAGCGCTCTGCTCCCACTCTGCTATCTGCTCTGGGCTCTTCTTATCTGCACTTTGCACGGCTGGGGGCCGAACGGCAGCCTTCCTGAGCTCGAGACGCTTGTGCCAGGTTCTGTTCTTCTTCTTGACGCCATGCTTGTGATCTCCAGTGGAGGTGGCAGCACAAATATCCACCACATCCATGAGGTTTGGCTTCGTCTGGTTTCTGAAAGTACAGGAAAACAAGGAATTAAAAAATAAAGTTTTACGGCAAATGCAGCTAAATCTTGATGAGCCTGTTTTATAAAACATCAGTAACAAATAAACAGCGATCATCCCTTTAAAAAAATGCATATCTCCCGCCGTCTGTCAGGCCGAAGTTACGCATTATTTAAGTAATAATACTGTGTAATGGGTGGTGCTCCAATTATGTGTTGTGGATGACTCTCAGCTACTACCATGTCAAATTTTAGCTCAATATTTTAAAAATTGTCTGAGTTGTGTCCACTTTAGTGTTTATAAATGCCAGTTGGCCGTGGCAGCCATCTTGAAAAGGGTGGACTCCTTCAGTTGAAGCTGATGTACAGAGAGGAACACAGTTTGGTTCCAATCTGTCCAGTAGGTCATGGGATATTTTGCTAACAGACAGACCAGAGAGGACAACCAGCAGCTGTTCGTGCCATGTTCTTTAAAGTTCACCTGCTGTTGGCCTTGGATGACGTTACCACTTAAATCCTGTAAATAACAACAACCTTGGATTAAAAACCAACAACCAGCTGCAGGAAGCTGCACTGCAGAGGACAAACGGTTTATGAACGAGCCGTGAAGGAAGTGCCAAGAGAAACTTTGTACAAAACAGTTAAAACTCAAACAAACCCAGAGTCGAGTCCCTCAGTCTGCAGGTGAACCAAAGTCCCAGAACCGCTTTGATAAATATTCACTCACATTCAACTCTACCAGCTCCAAAAACGCAGTAATGCTTTAATATTTAATCGCATGTTGCTGTTTAATGTCGGAGCCAACTGCTCACACAGAGACGTGAACTAAGGCGACGCTCAGAGACTAAATAACTTGGAGGACGAAGCAGCGAGGCGACGAAGTTCCGCCGCTCCGACCAAAATTAACCCCGCGGCCGCTTCTTCACAGGCCCGACCGGCGGACGGAACCGATGGAGAATAAACGCGGAGCTGCTCAAACTGTTGTTCCGATTCATTTATTTATTTTATTACCTCTTTTCTCCTTTTGTGAAGAGCTTGACAGCTCAGCGAGTGGCAGCCATGATGGTTTCATCCGGGGATTTACGATGCTGTGAGCTGCTTTAGTCGTTAGCCTCCGAGCTAACAGCTAAAAACATGGCTAAACACAGCTGTTAGCCTCCGAGCTAACGGAGCAGTTAGCCTCCGAGCTAACAGCTAAAACATGGCTAAACACAGCTGCTAGCCTCCGAGCTAAGGGAGCAGTTAGCCTCCGAGCTAACAGTTAAAACATGGCTAAACACAGCTGCTAGCCTCCGAGCTAACAGCTAAAACATGGCTAAACACAGCTGCTAGCCTCCGAGCTAACAGCTAAAACATGGCTAAACACAGCTGCTAGCCTCCAAGCTAAGGGAGCAGTTAGCCTCCGAGCTAACAGCTAAAAACATGGCTAAGCAAGCTGCTAGCCTCCGAGCTAACAGCTAAAACATGGCTAAACACAGCTGCTAGCCTCCGAGGTAACAGCTAAAACATGGCTAAACACAGCTGCTAGCCTCCAAGCTAACAGCTAAGCCCCACAGAGCCGTTAACTGAAGAAAACTGGTCTATGTGGTCATTTTACCCACAATACATTTGTAACAGAATACAACGTAAAAATAGGCAAAGCAGGATAATTCATTCATTCAACCTTTATTTCTACAGGTAAATCCCAGTGAGCCTCGAGGACTCATTTACAAGAGAGACCTGGTTTCAACAAAGAAAGATGACAACAATGGACAACAGCAACAACAACAATAACAATTGTTTAACAACAATAAACAGTTATAAAAAGTCATACTGCAGGGTTTGGTTTTTTTTTGTTTTGTTTTGTGTTTTTTTTTTACAAATAGGATGGCTAAAAGAAAAAGGTAACAACAACAAAAAAAAAACATCTAGATTCTAAGGCGAATGTAGAAAACTAAAAACAGGAACATGTCTGCACTGGTCCCTGCCAGGAGTCCAACAGATTCTTAAAGACACTTAGAGAGGTCAAGGTCGAGAGCTTCAGATCTTTTTACAAGATATTCCAGGAAACAGGAGCGGAGTAGGAGAAGGTCCTTTTGTCTAGTTCAGTCCTCACTGAGGGAACACTGCAGGTAATGATGTCCTGAGAGCGCACGCTGTAGCTGCACTCACACAGAGACATGTAGGAGGAGATGTATGAAGGCAGCAGACCAGGAAGTGATTTAAAGATGAAAATGTACCAGTGGGAGAGTCTGTGTAAAGTTAATGATGTCCAGTTAACCAGTGGATACTGGGTGCAGTGGTGGGTACGGTAGTTACAGCCAGTTCTGAATCTTAGTGCACCATGATAGACAGCATCCAACATCTGCAGCATCCAACATCTGCAGGGTTCTTGTAGGAGCGTTCATGTAAATAATGTCACCGTAATCAATGGAGGGAAGGAAAGTCACAGATACAAGGTGTTTCCTAGCATTCAGGGTTAGACAGGATCTGTTTCTGAAAAATAAACCCAGTTTAACTTTCAGTTTCTTTACCAAGTTTTCCACATGGAGCTTAAAAGAGAGATGTGAGTCGACCAAGATACTCAAATATTTATAGGATCCAACAAACTAAATGGGGACACCATTTGAGGATAAAATCGGAGGAAGAACTGCTGGGACCGACTTCCTATTTGAAAAAAACATCCCTTTGGTTTTGTCGGCATTTAGGACAAGTTTGAGGCGGAACAAATCTGTCTGGATGATGTTGAATGCAGATTTCAAAAGCTGGAAAGCCTTAGCAACTGTTTTAGCTCGACAATAAACAACTGTGTCATCAGCACAGAAATTTATGGATGCATTAGGGATGTAAAAAAGTTAAATCTGGTCCTCTGGACATTCAAAAAAACCCAAAACAAAGCAAAACAACAAAAAATGTAGAAACGTTTCGTCTCTCATCCTGAGGACTTCCTCAGCCTGAGGAGCTGTATTCAGCTCAGTCTCTTAAATAGCACCTTCTCAGAGTGAATCAACCAGTTTGCTGCTGACAACCAAAACCAGCTGATCACATGCTCAAGAAGGACCATCAGCCTAACAATGGGTCATTAGCACCTGATGGCTGTTTACTGTTCACAGAGGGCTGAGTGATACTAGCAATCACAGCATTGTAAGAGGGGGACAGTTGATCCTGGAGGCTCCACCCCTGTTTAATGATGGACAGTTTCTTTTCACAAAGATGGCCTCCTTTACTCCTCTCTCAAACCATCGTTCCTCTCTGTCCAGGATGTGAACATCTTCATCCCTGAAAGAGTGACCGCTGGCCTGGAGATGAGTGTAGACCGCAGAGTCCTGGCCTGATGATGTTGCTCTTCTGTGCTGGTCCATCCTTTTGGCCAGTGGCTGTTTTGTTTCCCCGATGTAAGACTGATCACTCTCCTGACACTGAACAGCATACACAACATTACTCTGTTTGTGCCGGGGGACTGGATCTTTGGGATGAACCAGTCTTTAATGTATTTTGGGGTTTAAAAGCCACTGGGACGTTATGTTTAGAAAATAAACGTCTCAGTTTCTCTGATACTCCCTCAACATACGGAATGACCACTGGTCTGGGTCTGGGTTCCTCCTTTTCACCTGATGGTTGACTGGAGTCCTGTTTGAGTTTCTTCTTTCAGGAAGGCCCAGTTAGGATATCCACATTGCTCTAGAGCCTGTCTTGTGTAGGATTTCTCCTTCTGCCTGGCTCCCGAGCTAGTGGGGACGCTGTCTGCTCTGTGGTACAGAGTCCTGATGACTCCTAACTTGTGCTCCAAAGGGTGATGGGAGTCAAACTGCAAATACTGGTCTGTGTGGGTGGGTTTGCGGTACACCTCAGTTTGCAAATGTCCTCTATCAGAGACTGAGACCTCACAGTCCAAGAAAGCCAACCTGCCATTTTTTACATCTTCTCGTGTGAACTTGATGTATTTATCCACAGAGTTGATGTGGTCAGTAAAATGTTGGACTTCCTGAGATTTAATTTTAACCCAGGTGTCGTCAACATACCTGAACCAATGACTTGGTGGTGTCCCTGAAAAGGACGTCAAGGCTCTCTTTTCTACCTCCTCCATGTACAGGTTGGCAACAATAGGAGAAACTGGAGACCCCATAGCACACCCATGTTTCTGCCTATAATATTGCTCCCCATATGTGAAGTAGGTTGACTGCAGGCACAGTTTCAAGAGTTGACACAGTTGTTCTGTGGAAAGCGTGGTCCTGCTGCTCAGAGTGGTGTCTGATTTTAATCTTAAACTGACCACCTCTACTGCATCATCAACAGGAATGCACGTAAAGAGTGATGTGACATCAAAAGAGACCATTGTTTCATCAGTCTCCATGATGACATCCCTCACCTTATCCACAAAGTCCATGGTGTTCTGTATGTGGTGTTCTGAGCTGCCAACTAAAGGGATGAGTACAGACGCCAGATATTTGGAAACATTGTAAGTGACAGAGTTAATCATGCTAACAATTGGTCTTAAAGGTACACCCTGTTTGTGGATTTTAGGTAAACCATACAGACTAGGTGTGGCCTCCCCTGGGTACAGTCTGTGGTACAGAAAACGGTCAATAGCCTTGTCCTGCTCCAAAACTTTCAGGCAATCTATTAACTTCTTCTTGTAACCACTTCCTGGATCTCTTTTCAGAGGTTCATAAGTGTTTAAGTCACTAAGGAGTGTCATAACTTTCTCATGATAGTGTTTCTGGTTCAAAATCACTGTGCACCTTCCTTTGTCTGCTGGGAGAATGATGATGTTTTTGTCCTTGCTAAGAGTGGTGAGTGCGTCCCTCTCCTCTCTACTGATGTTGGAAGGTGGTGGTTTGGCATTGCTGAGGCAGGCTGAAACTTTGATTCTGAGCTGTTCTGCTTCACCCTCTTTCATTTTGTTGTTGCAGATGGCTGATTCTGTGGCTGTGATCATCTCCACCAGAGGAATTCTACTTGGTGCAACCACAAAGTTCAGTCCCCTGGCAAGAATCTCTGTCTCCGGCTGGGTGAGCTTCTGTCAGATAAATTCTTCACCCACTTTTCTGTCTCCCTGGCATGTAACTGACTACTGGAGTGTTGTCCTACACTGAATGTGTTGTTATTGGAATAGTGATGGTGTTGATGAGTTATTAGTAAGTTAAACTTGTTTTGTTGTCGAGTCTTGGACTTGACATGCTGTGCTAAGCGTGCCTGATCTGTACAGTCCATCACTTGCTGAAGTGTGGTCTGATCTAGACACGTTGTTAGTTTCTGTTTAATGTGCTCTTCTTTGGCCTTCAAGGCCTCAATAGTAAAATTGGTCTGTCTCACCCGTTCATTCAGCAGCTGGGTCTGTGCCTTCTGAAGGATCTTGCTTGCCCGGTGCCCGCTGACCAAAGATTTTAGTTCCAGGCTCTTGGGAATGATGCCACTTTGTCGACATCTGAGGTTGAATCGCAAATGGTTCCTGTAGTCGGCCCTCTTCCTTGCTGTTTTCTCAAACTCTCTAACTAGTTTGAGGCAATCCTGGCCAAAGTGGTTCAAAATATCCTGATGCATGCTCAATAATCCAGGTAGAAAAATCTAAAAAAGTTAAATCTGGTCCTCTGGACATTCAAAAAACCAAAAAACAAAACAAAGCAAAAAAAATGTAGAAACGTTTCGTCCCTCATCCTGAGGACTTCATCAGTCTGAGGTGCTGTATTCAGCTAATTCTCTTAAATAGCACCTTCTCAGAGTGGATCAACCAGTTTTGCTGCTGACAACCAAAACCAGCTGATCACATGGTCAAGAAGGACCATCAGCCTAACAATGGATCATTAGCACCTGATGGCTGTTTACTGTTCACAGAGGGCTGAGTGATACTAGCAATCACAGCATTGTAAGAGGGGGACAGTTGAACCTGGAGGCTCCACCCCTGTTTAATGATGGACGGTTTCTTTTCACAAAGATGGCCTCCTTTACTCCTCTCTCAAACCATCGTTCCTCTCTGTCCAGGATGTGAACATCTTCATCCCTGAAAGAGTGA